GTGGAAAATCTGAAATATTCTTTTGTACATTTGGACTTCCACCATGACTGAAGTCCAAACTTTTTTGTTAACACGCTGAAAATGATCAAGATCCCCATTGAGAAAAAGTGGGCCGGCTTTGCTGGTTGCCTCGGCAACAGTAAAACCACATGCTGTCGTGCATGGCGGGGAACCTATGGTGTACTTAGGGAGCTCAACCACTCCAGTTTATTCGAGCCCGAGCAGCAGGCACTGCAAAGACCCTCTTGGAATCTTTTTTTTTTTCCCCCATCGGTATCCTTCCGTTGGGTAAAATGCCTTTTCTGGGTGACTCAACATGCTCTCAGATTTTTCACAGGCATTTTTCTTGATGAAAACTTGCCTATTTTCAGAGGTCGGAAAGAAAACAAAGTAGCTCATCTTGCAATGTATTTAGCATACATCCAATCTGTTAGCATTATTTTCAGAGGTCGGAAAGAAAACAAAGTAGCTCATTCTTGCAATTTATTTAGCACACATCCAATCTGTTAGCATATTAGCATTTTCTCCTTGCCAAGATCACTTTACTGCAAGTCTTGCTCCCTTGATGCATGTCAGTTTTTCATCAATTATCACGAGTACATCACTACAGCACAGGATGTAAAGATCCTCATCGATCAATCCAGGTGGTTTCTCTGCTTATCTTCCTGTCTGCCTCTTTCGCTCATTCATCTCCTCCATATTTATTCCACACAAACAGCGGCCTCGCAGCTCGCCCCGGCTATTAAAGTGTGAGGCCGAGTGACAAGTCGGCTTGACAAGCTCATAAAGCGTCTTCCGCTGGGAGGTCAGCGTTTTGGGCGTGCGCCAAAAACCAAGATGATGACTGACTCAGCGTGACGAGATGAGAATAACCACCAGCGTCTATTGATGTGCCTGTTTGTGATGTACCGGTAAGTGGTGCACATTTAAGAGAAAAAAAAGAAATCAAGAATAATATTAAGGGTGTGTACCTGGGTGTGGATATATGGACTCACAGCGTGACTGGGGGGTCTCCAGTGGGTCTGGGTGGCCTTGTCACAGGGGCGTTGCGGTAGCTTGTCCGCCGGCTGTCGAAGTAGCGAGGGCGCCCTCTGCTGCTGACACCGGCACCGCACCTGACGTTCTCGGGCCAGCTGAAAAAAGGCCAGGGTGAACGATGGGAACTTTTGCCAGGTTATGACATGAATGTGGAGTAATATATTGAATAACAAGCTCAGCCATAATTGCCTGCGCGACTCAGGAGGTAAACAATCATCTTGAAGAGGACGAACGCAAATCCAGTGGAAGCAGCCGAGCGTCTTTTTGTGTTTCAACAACCCGGGTGTGCAATGAGGCTGACCTAAACTCGTCTATTAAATAATGTAGAGCTTGAAATGGCTTTATCCGATATCCTTTTTGGCTGTGCTGCGCGCTACTTTTCTAAGGCACTCACGTGCCAAGCTGAGGTCAAATGCATGCATTGTAACGTGAAAACACAGCAGCCGAATAGGCACACGACAAGACGTCATCACAGCTACGACGTCAAAACATGAATCTGCTGCTTGGAGCCAAACAGACAAGCATAAAAAAAATGCCAAACTTGAGGAAGATGAGAGCTCTGTCATCAGTTTCATGGAGTGCCAATAGTTTGCTCACATACAGTATTTGTCCTAACCCCATGCCCGTTTGTTATTATTAGTTGTTCTTATTTGTTAAAGCCCGACTGCAGCTTATTAATCGACTCCCGACTGACAAATCATTTTTTTGTAGCGAGGGCTCAAAAGAGTTTAGTGTTAAATCTCACAGCTTGCGTGACAAAGCTGCCAACTTGACAGCTCTGCTTTGGAAAAGAAAAAAAAGAGAGCAACTTTGTGATACAAATTTGAGCTTTTCCATCGTTTCCAATCAGTCAGCAAAAGTCAGATGGTCTCTGAAAGGTTATCCTGTCCTGCGGGGTGGGCTGTCCTGTTGTGATTTGTCCTCGATGATCTGCTCCAGTTGACAATTGTAAATGTTAAAATCCCGTTCAATATTTACAATCGCAAATCGTGACGTGTGTGCTTGTGTGTGTGTGTGTGTGTGTGTGTGTGTGTGTGTGTGTGTGTGTGTGTGTGTGTGTGTGTGTTCAACACCAAATGCCAATTAAGAAGCTTGCTGAAGCTCCTGCCGTTGCCGGATGCAAATACAACAACAAACATCACCACAATAAAAAAGGACGAGGAAAAGAGGTTGTAACTGCAAAGTACACGTGGTTATCGGATAAGGTAACAGTTGACGTAACTTCTGTTCCTTCTGCCACTACTACCCTTTCTTCTGTGTATTTTCAAGGTGTCTGGATGCTGCCTCTCGCAGGTTAGTCCCGGTACTGCGGCAGATTTTTGTTCACGGGAAGGACACTTGCGATTTCGTCATCCCCACACACTATGAGAGCAGTTGGAACCCAAATTTGTTTCATTTTTGTCCTTTAATTCTTAATGCCAACTGCACTGTCAAGGACTCATGACAAGCTACTCGGTCAAAATGGGATGGCAGGCAATTTTAAATAGCCCAGCTCAAAATATAGATTTCAGGGCTCTCACCTGATGCAGACGCCAAAATAATCTGAATTCTGCACAGTCCAATTTGACTTTTAACTCACTCTGTCAGCTTCCATATGCGCTAATGCCATTCCTCTCTCTCCTATCTGCTCTGTTGAGGGTGAGGGCGCAGCAATATTGTGCGGGACTGGAGAACCAGCTGGGGAGGTGCTCGCTCTAATTGGGAAGGCTCGCACGAGGCGGCGAGGGAGGCCTGGCTTTGACATTTTGGTATTTGTGGACGCGGTCGCAGATTTTAATATGTCAGGCGGACATACTGTTGTTTGGCTAACAAGGAAGTCTCTTCAAGACACTAATGAGCGTTAGGATGGAGATGGAGTAAGCTAAAAGCAAACGGAACAGAGGTTATTGGTAGCCAGCGGTGGGGGCCAGATAACTCGCGGCGGCGTGCTTGCGGTCCCGAACGCCCACGGGCGATGAAGGCTGGCGCAGTGCTTCCTGATTTTATCAGTGGAGATTTGCACCATCCGCCTCTGTCTTCTGCATCGTTCACAGCGCGTCGTGATTACATTCAGACAGAGAGGGGAGTCTCTCTTTAAAGTTCAGTGTGCAAGTTGAAAGTTTGAAACATTTTTTAAAATATCAACTTAAAAAAAAAATAATACAAATGTACAAAACAAAATGAAATAAATTCATTTCGGTGAAGTGAAATCTAATTACAGTAAGCCTGTGATCAACTACGAGTGCTTGACACCCTCCTAAAAATGTTAACAATTCCTTATAGTTTAAACCTTAAAGTATAACACAAACTATGACCCTGAAACAGTTTTAAATCACTTCAAACTCATCTTACCACAGTAACCTTAAAAAAAAATGTACCAGATGTGTACATGTACAAGCAAATGAAGTGGAGACTCTCCATTACATCCGCTAATAACCCAGGCTAAATTTAGCTCCTCCCCTCCCCAACAAAAACGGCTCTCTCTTATGATTTCAAAGAACTTTCTTGACATCAATGACTGCACTACTTTCCAACTCAGTGCTCTGGCAGTATGCACAAAAAATTTTGCCCGGCTCAAAATTAATATTGTTTGTTGTTTGTTTTTGTGAGCATTTTCCACTTGTATGGACAAACACCCCCACAAAAAAACTAGAAACAAAAGTGAGCATTTCCAGGGAATGAATGTTGGCAAAGAATGTTGCAGCCACAAAGAGCCTTTTTTTTCTTACCACTTGTTCCCGCTGATGCTGCTGCAGCTGCTGACACTGCAGAGTGAGCTGAACAATGGTCTTGTCTCGACTCCGAAGTTCTTCTCGGAGCATGTGCACCTCCTTCAGCAGCTCCTCAAACTGCAGACACGCACACACACACGCGTGCAGTTATATAGCACTTCTACAGGAGGGGAAATCAGATAAAACCATGTTTTTCTTACCTGGGATACAGTATTGGTATTGCCTCCAATCTCGCCCGAAACATCTGCTGGCGAGTCCGGATCCTCGAGCTGCAAAACACACACGTACACAGCGAAATGCAGAAAGTACACGGTGAGACCGATCAATGACAGTTGCCGTAGGGCACGCCTCAAGAGCAATGTTGTGAGGTGGAATCATTTTCCTCCTCCATACACATACACCCTGCCGGCCTTGGACTGCCAGGCATCGGTGACACGGACCTGCGGCGCAATCTCCAAGTATAGTCAACACATTTATTTCGCAAGGAAGCATAAATGTCAGCTAGGTGCCCGAAAAAATCCAGGCATGCCTTTGTATTTTTTTTTTCTTTTTTACCAAAAGGTACTAGAGAGGTTGGTCTTGTATGTGTACGCCGATAAGCCAATTTATTTGTTCGATCAATTAACATGCATTCATTTGAATCGGGGTACACGCACGCATACTGATGATGAGGCAGAATCCCCCCCCCCATCTCATTGCAGTCAGCAAATGGCTGATTGAGAGAAGCAATGAACGTGTTTTTCCTTGTCTCTGACATTTTCAGAAATCAGTGGAGTAAAAAAGATCATCTTGTATGTACGCTGCCTTAGAATCACCTAAATACTTGACAGCGTTTTCGAGAAGTTCAAGATGATGTTCTTGTATTTTCATGCACAGCTCTCTCTAACGGTCAGCGAAAGAGAAACGAGCCACTTGAGGCTACACTACACAAAAAACATTCCTGATTTGGTGAGTCATTCAAACGGTAGGGTCAGAATTTAGCATGAAGCACATTACAATGGATGCTGTATCAACGATTCAGGCTGACGGCGTTGGGACTAAACGGTGCGTCCGATATGTCCTTGGCAAGCTTTGAGCGGCTTGGTGCCAACCGAGCATCCTTTGAATACCGCAACCGACCTCAAGACGACACGAATGGCCACCTAAATAAAGCATGATTTTTTTTTTTCACCGGCTGTACCGGCTTCTGTATTCACCAAAGTGAAGGCCAATCGAGCACAACTGGAACGTAGTGCAGTAGCAGATTCCATTCCAGCGGAAAAATGTGCAATAACTGAGTGACGCTCTCATTTTAACATGGACCAAATCCTTCCAGCACTTGTTAAAATAAAATGCGTGCCACCAAGCAGGGTGGAGGTAATAAAGTGGCCAGTGAGAGTATTCATTCACCAACAACAGAATTCATTTCCAGCATCCTTTGATCTGACTCTTGCTGTCAACCATCCTCTCATTCCCGCGACTGAGACCGACGGACTCTGTAATTGATTTCCTCACATTCAGACTTAATCGCCTGCCAGCAGTAAAAAAAAAGAAAAAAAGGAAGGTGCGAGGCACACGTTCAAAAGCCAAACCGGCCGCGAGGATCTACTCATGAGGGTCGGACCTGCAGTAGGTTTTTCAGCCTGAGCAGCTGGTTCTTGACCAAGGTGCAGTCTTGGCTCATGTGCTCCAGCGACAGCTCATCGGGCACGGGGGCGGGCGCGTGGCCCTGTCGCCTCGCTTCCGAGGGGGCGGCCGGTAAAGACATCCTTGAAGACTTGAGGCTGTCATAGTGATGGAAGAACGGTGCCCTGAGAGACAAAAGCGTCCGTCATGTTAAGCACAATGGAAGCTCTTGAGGTGTCCTGAAATTAAGGTTTGAAAATAATGACCGTTGAACCTTGCAAGTGGTTCATTTCCATGATTTCCTCAGAGAGGAAATCGTAAAATGAGAACTGCATCCCAGATCTGATTGTTGTTGACCTTGGCAGTTATGTTGTAGTACAAAAAGGTTCAGCTTAATAGGTAATATTCAGATTTTTTTTTTTTAATTGTCAAAAGGATAGCAAAAAAAAAACCTAATCGTCTCGTTAAAAGGCACAATTTGCTGTTATTGACTATCTTGTCTCTGTCTCGCGATTGTGATGCAACGTTGCCGACGCATATCGCTGCAGCTATTAAATATCATGAGAATCAATTATTCCCAAAACCATACCGTCGATCACCAATTGATTTTTGCAGTGTGACACAGCAAATGTGAATGTGAGCCGTTGTCCAATTGGTTTCGCGATCCTCACATTCCACACTGTAATATCTGTGACGTTGTGTGCGCGTTGTCTTTAAAAGTTGGAAAACTGATCACTCACAAAGATGTTGCTTTCATTTTTTTTTTTTGTTTTGTAATCAGATCATTCAAGTTAATTGATTGTTTCAAGCAGCCCTACCGCCACACCTTGTTGTAAGACCGCAATCCAGATCGTGTTTACTGTTAGCCGTACCAAACCATCATGTCAAACCACAAACTTTTGCCTTTTCGTGAAGGGAACCAAATGGATCACGAACCTGCCGTCGTTGGGGAAGTGGTCGGGTCCATTCCAGCGGTGGTGCCGGCGGCGCTGTCCCTGTCGACGGGGCCCGCTTACACCGTTGGACATCCTGTCAAAGTCTACGACGAAAGGCAAGAATATGTTGAGGTACGGCGAGGCTATCGGTCTGTGCAGAAAATCGTGTCTGCCTTCAAAGCTTGTTGCAAATGGGTTGAGTTTGTTGTGAGAGATGAGATGCGCCATGCAAAACATGAAGGTAAGAAAATGTTTTTCAGGCGGGCTCACACAGACACACACATCAAAACAAACTATCATATTTTCTGGCGATGAATACGCCTGTACACATTTGAAACGCTCTAAAATATCGGCACGCACATCTTGATCTTTTCCATCTCCCTCCTCGCTATGCAAACACGCAAACAAACAAACAGAAAAAAAAAAATCAGTGACGAGCAATTTCATTTCCAAGGATGTAAAAAAGGACAGTGAGACTTCGGAGACTCTCGGAAGAATAGAGCAGAGAAATGAGCCATGGCTCGGGGAAAAACTGACAAATAATAGAGGCTGACCTCCCTTTCCTTGAGAAGCGAGGCCCACAGCAAAGGAAGGAGACAGTGAGAAACAACCGCGCGTGCACACACACACACAAACAAAAAATAAGAAGAATAATGGCAGGGTGGAAATGCTGCTGCTGAGAATACTTTACCAAAAGTGTCACCACGCAACACAGAAGCAGGCAGCCTGTTTCATACTCAAGCGTTACATTCCGGGAACCTGACAGAGTCCAAGTCATTAAAGAAGGCAAAAAAACAAAACAAAAAAAAAAAAGACACCAATGAGCCATGGCTCGGGGAAAAACTGACAAATAATAGAGGCTGACCTCCCTTTCCTTGAGAAGCGAGGCCCACAGCAAAGGAAGGAGACAGTGAGAAACAACCGCGCGTGCACACACACACACAAACAAAAAATAAGAAGAATAATGGCAGGGTGGAAATGCTGCTGCTGAGAATACTTTACCAAAAGTGTCACCACGCAACACAGAAGCAGGCAGCCTGTTTCATACTCAAGCGTTACATTCCGGGAACCTGACAGAGTCCAAGTCATTAAAGAAGGCAAAAAAACAAAACAAAAAAAAAAAATGACACCATATTCCAGCTAGGAGAGTGCCTCGAATAGAGCGTGGAAAGAAACGTCCACCTGGTCCAGTCGGTGAGGCAGAAATCCTGAGCCCACCCTGCCTGGCCATGTCTGTGGTGTCAGGCTTGTTTTTCAGGGAACTCCCAAGGAACTTTTAAGTCCAAGTTTAGGGGAAACTCCGGGAGGCCTCCACAAGCCCCGACAGCTGGGTTGAAAGAAATTGCCCCGCGCCGGCCGGTCATCCGCTTCTGATTTGGCTCCCTAGTTTTCCCTTTCGCCTTCTTCCTGTTATGTGGCAGAGTCAGGGTGTCTCTTGGAGGGAGGAAACGAAGGACAGAGCAAGGGGAGGGCCTGCGGAGGCTCTGTAGGCAAAACAAAACCGCCTTCCCGACCCCTGGTTTCAGGGCCGCCCTTGTGATCTCACTTTCACTGTGCCTCTTTTCTTGTACTTGGCCCGATACGCGGGGGCTATAAATATGGACACTTCCCAAAAAGGGAGCACGGAGGGGAACGGCACGGCACGTCAGTCACATTCTTCTGGAGTGAACATTCCCTTGGCCTGCCTTGGACTGTTTACAATCTTAACGGTGACGTGTGGCTGCGGAGTGAAGCCGTCTCCGACTTGCAGCAGCGCAATAAAAAAACTCGGGCACGTGAGACCGTTCACTTCATGTTCGGGTTGCGGTTGATGCACTTTTGGGGGCATTTTGGCAATGCAAACGATACCGGCAACGGCAAAACAAAAATGGAATCGAACTGAAAATTGTAGCCAGAAGGTCTCAAAGGTTAAAAGTACATTAATATTAATCATACTTTGTAAGGTCATATAAAATATATTAAAAGGATATATATCTAGTAACAAATATTTATTTGTTTTGATTTTACTTTTTGAGGTCGGCACAATAAATTAAATGTTCTCAAATTAAAGTACATTACAGCCACCCTTTTTGTTTTTTTTTAATTAATTTAGCTTTGCTCACAAAATAGATTGCTCCATTTACAATGCCAATTTCAAAAATAAAAACTGTGGATTATACAAAAAGAAAAACAATTGCTCATTTGTCATATTGTCCTATTTTTATAGTTTAATAAAAAGTTGCTCCTGAAATAAAGTCACTGCTGTGCAAAACTGAACTTTGAAAGAACTTTTTTGACCAGATTGTTAATCGTTTACCAGTCAAGATCGCGTAAAACAATTATTTTTCCATCAATAATATGAAACCTGTAATACTGCAATGTCGAATGTGATGCGGTTGAAAGTTTTGGTGCGCCTCACTTCAGTGCTGCTGCAACCAAGAAAAGAATCTCGAGTTCGACATGATCGCGCTTGACACAGTCCACCGCCACCGCGTGTGCATGTACGGTCCGAGGCACATACATGACCTCCGTGCGTTAAGATTCTGGCTTTGCGGGAGACATCTGACATTAGCTCGCGCGATAAACAAGCCAGGCAGGAGTGGCCCGACCTGAGTTTGCGTCGCCGCTGACAGGAGTGAATAATCGTTGCAGAAGTCATTATAATTCACGACGGCGCGAGGTCAATGTCTCCGCGCCCCCTCCCTTCATTCTCTCGTGACACACCATCCGATAAAGGCGATAATACAGCTGCCGGCACAATCGCCACGACCCGATTGCCTCGAGCGCATGCAATTAAGCCTTTTCACGCCAGGATCAAGAGGCCGGAATTTGATGACATTCACAGAGCGATAAAGAAAACGACAACAAAAGGCTACAACGGCGCTGACGTCACAGCAGTCGAGCGGGAATGTGAAGTGGGGACAATGAGGCGTTCAACTAATCACTTTATTACTACCGTCAAGGCAATTAAACGGTCTGCCGCCACATCTCAATATTTAAGGCGCTTGGATGTGCGTGTTTTATCCGTTTGTTCCGACATGCTCCAGACAGCTGGCGACATCCTCTTCAATGCAGGTTTGCTGCCGAGCTGTCATTTCCAGCGCGATAAATAACCTATAAATAACTCTTCGGCAAGCGTGTACCCGTCACAATAGACGGCGAGACCATTCCAACAGATGTTGCACAGCCGAGCAGGGATTTGATCCACCCGCAATAAGGCGCGGAAGCATATTGCTGGAAATAGAAAGCGAGTAAACTTTTTCGCCACCCCCTTCACTAGTTTGCCACTGACTTTACTGGATGTTGTTCTCTTCCAGGACAACGAAGCGCGTGAGCTCACCATGCAAACCATCCTCTGGGAGATCCACATCCAGCATGAGGTCATCGTCATCCACCTCTTCCACGCCTGGGCTGTGCAGATCGTTCAGGATATCCTGGGAATCACAAACAGAAAGAAATACAAAACAAAAACGTTGCAAGGGTGTTGCCCCACGTACTTCCATTTTTTTTCTGACGGTGTCGATATTGCTGTGGAGCCATTTTGTGGCATCTTGGTGCCGAGGAACTATGTTGGAGTGAGTTGAGGAGCTACATGTATCAGTTTAATCAATGACGAAAATGATCGCTGTCATAAGAAGCCTCAAAAGTGTCTATCAAGCTAGTTTCCAAAACACTGGGAGAGGTGTCAACATTAATTGATTAATCGTCAACTAAGAAAAAAAACAATTCCTGGGAGATTGTAATTTTAGATATTGATACATAAAATAGATGGAAAGAAAATATCAGAAAATGTTGTTTGTGGGGAGGAAAATAATCCTCATTCTTTCGTAACTTTTACAGTGCTGTTGAGACATAAAGATAAAAACAATTCACATGTCCAGAACCATACGATGATAATGTGACGAAAGCAGCAGTCAAACAAAATACCTTTGTCAACTGAAGTATGAAAAAAATAAATAAATAAATCCACAAACAATCTACGCATTCTAAAATGTTCACCCCTGCGCATGGCATGGTGTGTCATGGAAATGTTATCAAGCCCTGGGTTGCCCACACAGTGATTTTGCACACCGCCATTTGAATGCAGAGAGAGTCAAATACAGCCAACACTTGACTGGCTCACATAAAAAAAAAAAAAAAAAAAAAAAAAAAAAAGAGCAATTTAAAGTGCAGGCAGACACTTTTAGGTGTGTTATGGAGGCACATCGCCACCAAGTGGACTGATCATATTACTGCAGTGTATGAAAAATTTAACCCATTACAGACCCTCAAAAAAAAATAATAATAAATCATCCTAATACGTAATAAATCGTTAGATTTTGTACAATCTATCAAGTTCGATTCCTGTATCAGCAACACTGCAATGCTCTGTATAACATTGCTATTATTATTCGGTTAAAGGGGGACGCCAAAATTCAGAAAATGCATTTAAAAGAAACGACGAAGGTCCAACCACAGAAATGTTGAAAGCCCAAGTCAAGCGCATGTTAGCAGCGGCACTAATGTGATACCATACCATGTCCTTAGGACAAAGTAAAGACTTTTAATCGGATATGCATAGTTGCGGCATGTGATGTTATGCTGAGAGCAGTATTGCGCATTCTCCAAACTATTTTTTCCATTCTCTCAGGGACATGAACAAAAATGGCGTACAGTACAACATTTGAAGGTGCCCCAATTTCTTCCCCCAAATGTTTTTAAATTGACATAATGCCAGAAATGAATCAGAGGTTGAAAGAATGACCACATGGAATCATAACTCCAAAGATCATTTGATGACCGATTTGTACTTTCAAGGAGCCTCATTCACGGACGTGCTCCCCCCTGCTCCTTTTCTCTCTCTTTTTGATCAAGTTGAATGTCCCTATCACATGCTGTAAGCACTTAAAAGACATATCTTATTATACAATTTCTAATCTGGTTTCCCGAAAAGCTCTTTAAGTGTTCCCGAGATCAGGTGCCATGGTACGTGAACACACAGAGAACCCAAAGGCTGGAAATGCTATTAAAGCTGCGGCTGGGACAGCATTCCTCTCCGGGATAACCTCTTTGCCTAATGAGGAAGGAGGTGAATGGGTGGCGGCATTTTTTTTTTTTCTTAAGTAGGCAATAAAATCTGGCATGAGCATTGCCAACCGGAAAGTGATCGGCTCATTGGAATTTGGGACCGGTGACCGGAAATGCTTACTCTTACTTTTATTGTTGTCGTCTTCAGCCCTGACAGTAACTGTGGCAAAGGCGAGTCCAGCTCTAATTGCAGCTTGTGTACATGTTAAGCGATGGGACTCACCATGCTGTTGAGCTCGGAGTCGTCGTACGGATCGCACAGATACGTGCCAGGCCCTGAAAGTGGTTCGAGACCTTCTTCGTCCCACATGTAGGTTCCCCCGGAGCTGTTGGAGGGTGACAGCTCCAAAGATGAAGCCAGGCAGACATCGCCTGTCTCCGGCGACTTCACAAGTGCTCCCTGGGAGTCCTGCATAGGGCTTTCTTCATCATGGCCTGGATGAAATGTTAAAAAAAAAAATTTAACTCAACAACAAAGTCCAACGCGAGGATCATTTCGGCTGATTTATTTGATTGATTTACCTGACGGCTCCCAGTCATTGGTCTCGTTGAGAACGCTATTTATCTTCTTGCTGTCGTGAGGGTCCCCGTCACTGAAAACATCCCCGACACTGTCCAAGTCATCTAAAAAGTCTTCACTGGTGTTTCCTTGATCGAAGGATGAAGCGGAAGACAAGGACATGTCTTCCTGACCATCGGCGACCGCCTGATCTGAGCTCGGCCCCAGCACACCGCTTTTGTCTTTTTCTCCTCCATCCGTGATCCGTCGATCAGCGCCATTGCGACCGTCCGCTTCTTCATCCTTTCCACCGGGTTCGGCATCACCACACGGAGGGATGGATGAAGGTTTGACGCCTCCTTTAACCCAAGCTGGAAGGATGGTCTTTTGCTGCTTGGCCTGTGCGGGTTTCGCCTGCTTGAAGCCCAAAGACGCACGACTATTCCCCAGTAACTTGTTCAAACCGCAAGTGGAGAGCAGCGGCTTTTTCAGAGCTCTGGGAGTGGAGGGCGCTGCCGGCGCAGGCAGCGAGGAGGCAGCCGCGGCCTGCGTCGGTAGCGAGGAAGCAGCCGCAGTTGTTCGGCTGTACTGAACGCCTCCGGTGCCACCGCCGGAAGATCCGGACCCCCCTTGGCCAACACGCAGAGCGCCGAGTCCTAAACGTAAGCGTCCGTTGCTAAGTTGAGGGGGTTTGAGGAAACTACTCCGAGGCGGTCGAAGCTGAGTGTTGGCCAGAGGTTTGGCCAGTTCCACGGCCCGGTTGAAGGAGAAGGAGCGGATCATGGGCTGGCTGTTGGGAGACGGAATCTGCTTGAAGTGCGTGAAACTGTTTGAGCGCACCATCTTGTCCAGTTCCAGGGTCTTCAGGCTTTCGCTGGACTGCGAAAGGCGGTCTTGGGAGCCGCTTCTCGGCGAGCCCGAGGATAACTTGGGCCGCGCGAGGCGGGACTCGGCGTCGCTGTGGTCTGCTTTCGGTGCGCCGTTGAGAGAGCTTTGGCCCAACTTGATGCCGTCTTTGGGAGCTACTTTGAGGGGTTGCTTCGGGGCGGCTTTGGGGCTCGAGGCCGCCGCCACCACCAATGGACCTGACCTGCGCATTATCGGCGTTCCCGGGGAGGCGCTCTTTCCTTCCTTTGCCAATGGGGGAAGTTGTCTTGTCTTCTCTTTGCCCCCGTCCCCAGGGCTGCTCAGGGTGCTCAGGCTGGAGGGGGCTGTCCCTTCATCTCTCCTCCATTTCAAGGAAAAGGGAGAAGTTCGAATGGCACCGTTCGGGCATGCGCCAGCAGGAGCCGTCTTGGCATCCTGCGAGGACGAACCGTTGGTCAAGGAGCCAGCGCCGCCACTTGTCGAGCGCCCACCAAACTTGGGCAGTCTTGAAACCATGGCGGAGCCGGTCGATAGTTTATCTTCCATCGGATGCCAACGGAGGCATGGAGGAGCGTGGACTCACACACCGCTGGGGAGAGACCAGAAAGAAAAAAAAAAATGAATCACGTATCACACATTAACAGGCAAAAATCTGTCTGGCGATCGCTTCCTTTGCTGATCCCATGTTGAGGAAAATCCTTGAAACAGAAATATAGTCATACTTCAAACAGACGGACGACTGGAATGGTTGCGTGTCTGCGCTTGAAAGACTCCTCGCCGCGGAGAGAGCATAAAGAATTCATGCGACTGCTTTCCAAGGTAACTTGAGAGTTTATAAGAACGTCCACCCCACCTGCTCTCATGCCAAGTGATTTCATGAGCAACGTTTGGACCATATACGTATACAATAAATATTTTTGGAACAAACTAACAGAATCTTGATTACTTCTAACAAGGACTTTTGTTTTTTGAGTTGCCGTTGGTGTGCAGGATGACACAAATGCGACGATGATTGCAATGGACGAAGGCGCACGTCCAAGATCGTGTTTTCTTGTTTATTGAAAATTCACTTCATTCTGGAGTAAATAATAAGATAAGACAAGAAAACAACGTCCAAGATCGTGTTTTCTTGTTTATTGAAAATTTCTCTTCACTGTGGAATAAATAATAAGATAAGATAAAATAAGAAAACCTTTATTTGTCTCACAATGGACAAATCCCCATTTTACAGCATGTAACAATAATGCATTTATCTTCATCGGAAAAAAAAAAAAAAATCTGACATATGTCGGAGGTTGGTACTCAGGGTTAAAATTTGCAATTCTAGCTACAATTGCATCCCCGATGAAGAGAGAGAGAAAAAAAATCCTGCCCTGCATCCGTTCCCAGGTTTTTAGCGAACACGGCAGCAGTACGCGGGATCAAAAACAAAAAAAAGGGCAGACGCAGACACAATGGCTGCTGGATGAATGCGACTCCGGGAGGAAGGCCAGCGCGGTTTTAACGCTTGCGAATGGGCGAAGTCAAGGGCGGGAGAGCTGGAGATGTGTCGGTTGATGAACGAGCGTTTTCGATCCATCTGGTTGGACCGTGTGTTCACAAAGGAGAATGCGCCATCAATTGACAATCCACTCACAATCGCACCCGTTTCGATGGTGCGCCAGTGTTGACCGGTAGGCGAACTGCGGATTCAGGAAATCTAATCCATATTTAATGCCTCCACCGACCGCATCCGGGTGAGAGAGGGGGGTCAACTGTGGATGTCGTGCTGTCCCACATTCCCATGCGCAAACACGCGCGCGCGTCTACAATCAGTCGCATCTCGCCGCTGGCGTTGAGGTGTCCGACCGCCCTAATCCGCATCAATAAACACACATGGGCAAACGCGTGGAGAGACACACTCTCACCCACACAGGAAATCAGGTCAACATGCCGAGGCAGGGCCGCCGCCAAAGCCTCTTTGCCCCCCCCCCAGGGAACGGACGTGTGTCTTTGCGCTGCATGGGTCCAAATTGGCGTTTGACCATCCAGTACAAGCTCTCAAGTTGCACGGGGCATCACACGGAAGCGCAACGGTAACACTTTTGCGTTGATGTGGGTCACCTCGCTGATCACGCCAGCGAGTATTGAGATTCTGACGGGTTGACACACATTCGGAGGTGGGGCAGGAAAGAGCGTCGGCCATCTGTCGAACCCCTGGCCACCCCCACCTTCTGGGACTACACAAGTGATCCGATGAGGGGTGATAAGATTCGATGATTCGGTAATGCCAAGGGAACGGAAACGTTGTCCTGTCCATCAATTTCACTGAAGGGACATTTGATTTCCACATACTTGCAAAGTGTGAAGACATGGAAAAAATATAACACTCAATCCTGAGTCCAAAATCCGAGCATCAAGGAATTCATCGATTGTGTTTTCAATTTTTTTTCATCAGCAATTGCCAAGGCAAAGTGTTTTGTAGCTGCATCAGTTAACTTCCATCATTAGGGCTGCAACGAACGATGATTTTAATAATCTATTCATTAATCTGTTGATTCTTTTTTATTAAATAACTGCTACATCGGATTTTTACATTTCCAACCCAAAAGCGGGTCATTATTTTCCTGACTCATAAATTGATTACTATTCAGTTTTTGGTTTGCTTCGCAACAGCCGGCAGAAATTTTGCAAAAATGTTTTTTGTCTGAGGTAAGCGCAGATTGTTTGGAATTGTCTTGGTTTGTCAAGGTATTGAAGCGATTCATCGATTTCAATGAATCAAAATTGCTGCTGTGAATTGGGAATTTCTCCATTGCGAGACTAGTAAAGGTTTTCTTATCTTATCTTATCTTATTTCTATTTCCCCATTGAACAAAATGTTCCCAATCCATCATCATCATCATCTAGTGACGTGATAACAATCAAAATATTAAATATGCACTCCAACATTAAAAGCAAACAAGTACATCTTAATATACAGGTACCACAAAAAAATAACTGGATAAAAACTCCACTCGGCCCAAAATCAACTCTCTATGTACGCCAAAGTGCAGCTTCATGTCGCTCATTGTAAGGCCCCGGCATCTCTGGGGACTCATAACCTCGATCGGTCATGCAGAAAGGCCGGTGGCTGGGCCGCCGCGCTCTCTATGAAGCGATTAAGGGAGCGCCATTAGAGCCGGCTAATAGAACGAGGCGGCGACGAAAGCAACACTGACGCTGGCCTAATGTGTATTGAGTGAAAACAACACCGAGCTGAGCGGGCTTCTGATGCTAAGCCACCCGCTAATCTAATGAGACGCCAAGGAAGGCGACAGCGACAAGTGCAGACGGCGAGGGCGTGGCACCCCAGAACAGAAAACGAAAGCGCACGAAAAATATTTCCACAATTGCAAACAAATAAAAATAACGAAGACCTTACCCTGAGAAGTCGAGAGTTAGCCATCCTGTTTTCACCAGTGTCAAAAGTGAAAGTAAGCATCGAAGAGGCTTGTGCACTGACTGAAAGGGGCGTGCTTGTGTACCAGTGTTTTGTCTTGTGGGGACATAAATGTTTTACGGTAACACTGCTGGAGGGACCCGCCTTCTGCTTGGGGATGAAAACAAAGTCATTCAATTTTCAGATTTGGCTTCAAGGGGAAGCAAGGTAAAGTGGAGGTGACGGGCGAGTTGGAATTCAAGTTAAAGTCGTAAAATCTTTTGACGGTGACAGAAACACGACCGCGTGACAATCACATTCAATTTTCAGATTTGGCTTCAAGGGGAAGCAAAAGGTAAAGTGGAGGTGACCGGCGAGTTGGAATGCAAGTTAAAGTCGTAAAATCTTTGACGGTTGACAGAAACACGACCGTGTGACAATCAAAAGGCGGAAGCATGAACATAAATCTGGCAAAGGGATGAAAACCACATCAACCCGTCGGTGTACGTGCTACCGTGTGATGTCATGAGCTCACCAGAGAATGAAAAAAAAGCAAAGCAGACGCCGCCCAGCCCTTCTCAGACAGGAAGTTGTCTTGGTTTGTACAAGTTTCACTTTCTGCTCATTTTGTTCAAACACTTCCTGTCGACGTTTCGTGTCAACTGTGAGGCGGACGTGCGGGCCACGTTTCCCCCTGCGCTGCCTCTGTCCATCGGTGTGAACTTGCCATTTGACTGACAGGCGATCAGGGTCCACGGTCAAAAAGTCCGCCGGGACAGGCTCCGGTTACCCGCGAACCTCATGAGGACAAGCGCGATAGAAAAGTCATGATGGAGACAAGTCAGCACACGAGCAGAGCAAGCGTCGGCTGTCGCTCTGCTATTTGACCTTGACTTGAGCCCCCGCAGATGCGATTAATGCGCATTTAGGAGCCACGTTTAATTGTCGCATTCTGACCGCCGCGCGAGGATTGGAGAAGTTAAGCTGTCGTAAGCAAGCGTCGATCCCTGCCTGCATCGGCCATGCTTCATCATTTCAAGTAGATCGGGGGGAGGATGCCGGAGGAGCTCCTGGCAACTTTGTAAATCCGGCAGAGAAGTGCGCCTTCCGCAATTTGATCTATTCCAAGGAGTTTAACATCTGCGCTCTTACCGAGGGAATGAATAAGACGTAATCAGCGAGGCTAAGTTTAGCTTCAATGACAGACCGCATGGAGAGAAGGAGGGAGGGAAGGGGGGGGGGTGCAAGGAGGATCAGAGGAGAAGTCAAAGCAACCCACAAGGCTTTGGGTCCTTACACAACACGCAGGCGCATGCATAAGCGGGCAGTTCGTTATCCCGCATGACCTCGTCAATAAGATGGCCACATCGCTGCATCGGAAAGTTCACAGTGCCACCAAGGCAGCCTGGTTTAACATTAACTAACTTATGTGGACCATTTTGGGGAGATTTTTGTCTGAGTTCAACTCCTCTGGGATGGATTTGCTTACGACTCACCGAGCAATCGTCTTTTAAGCTTACAAAGAGGGTTTTTTTTCCGCCCATTTCAGTGAATGGGGGCCTAATGAAAGCTTTTCTCGGTAATCCTCCCATGGGGGGGGATTCATATGATGCATTCTTTTTAGAGGGTCTTCCTCACAATGTTGTTGTTTCTCTGCTAGACGAACCGGAGTGGTTAGATTAGAAAGATTAGGTTCAAAAGACAGACTCAAAGATTCAGTCAAAACCAGAACCGCAAATTCTAACGAGGATAAACAATGCGAAGTTGGAACAGCAGCAAATGTTTTCGCCTTGCACCGGCGGGGAATAGCGAGGGATGAAAAATTAAAACGCAACAACAGAAAGGTCCCCTGTTACGGATATGTTGGAACAAATTCGATATTCACCCGCACGGCAACATGCCTGAGATGTGCCTGAGCAAAATTTAGCCCGGGAACCGTCGCCGAGGGCGGCCATCACTTGCTGAAAAATAATCGTCGACGTTGGGCGCGGCCGTGGCGCGCAGTAAAGTTGTCGCCAAACGGGCCGCAGCAAGACGTTGGCGATCTACCGGTTGGTGGTGGTATGTGCCGTCCGCTTGGCTTTTTGTCTGCTCGGGGAATCAGCATCAGTGGCAGGGATGAGAAAAGAATCAATAAAGTCATTAAGAAGCCTGATGATGCCACAAGACAGAAGGTGGGATCACGGAGCAAATCTCCATCCATCAATGGCTCAAACTGAAAATACTCTTTCGGGGTGAGTCATGGGCGGCGCTGTGGGAGACTGGTTAGCACGTCCCGAGGTCAAGGGTTCGATTCCGGCTCCGGCCTTCATGTGTGGAGTTTGCATGCTCTCCGCGTGCCTGCGTGGGTTTTCTCCGGTTGCCTTCCACAATCCAAAAACATGCATGGTAGGTTACAGTAAATGGACGCTCGGTATTTTCCCTTGGTGTGATTGTGAGTGTGAATGGTTGTTGTTTTTCGATGTGTGCCCTGCAATTGGCTGGCATCCAGTTCAGGGTTACCCCCGCCTAGTGCCCGAAGACAGCCGGGATAGGTTCCAGCATGCCCGCAACCCTCGTGAGGATAAGCAGTTTCAGAAAATGGATGGATGGATAGGGTGAGTCATAGGCTCTTAAAAATATCATCACTTTTCTGCTCCTTAAGGCACTCAAGCTGGAACTTCCCCGTCTTTATGGACCAACTTACTGAGACTGAGTTACTGGGGGCCCCTTTATAGCTTCTTTATAGCAAATGGTTAAGAAGTCTTAGCAGCTATATAACTCTCACTTCTAGCCTCCAGACTGGAAAAATTACTTGTCCACATTATCTGCCACCCTCAAGGACACCTGTTCCGTGCCCTTTGGGCTTCTTCCCACACAAAGGGAGGAAGTGACTGGGTGACCACAGCTCAGAGCAAACAAAGCACACTCAAAAAAAAATGTACAAAGATCAGCAAGCAAGAGGACCCAAAAAGTAAATACAGGCAAGCAGGTTGGGGGTTGTTGAGCAGTCTGGAGATTTTCAGCTGTTAGCTAGTCGGGGGGGGGGCTCTGATTGTAAAAACACTTCCAGCCAAAGTGACGCTGCAGAAGCCGAGCTGACATGTGTGTGCAGGACACACACGTGGGTTTGGTGTACAGTTTGTCACTCAAGCAGGGCCATGCCACATTTCTATCTACTGACGTGTTGATGTCACGGCTCTTTCCACCGTCTGGACCGTAGGGGATCATACTTAAATACACATACACGCTTATGCATTTGACTGACAGGAGCTTAAGTCGTGCTATAAAAATATAAAAAGGTGACATAAAGTAAAAAACCTTGTGTTATATTTGAACTCCTGCATGCCCGATCTAAATTTACAGTGTGAGGACAACAAGATGGAATGTGAGTCATCTTTGGTTACTCTTGAATCATGCCACGTGCTCCCTACTTACTGATTTTTATGGCATTATCAGGCCCAGTTGTCTATGTTAGAATTTAAAGTTAACATGAAATACACTGCCGGTAAATCCGATACAAGAGCTGCAAAAACGTCTGCAGGAAAATACAACTGCTGCGAGCTGTTTCTAATATTTTGGTGACATGAGATGGCTCTAAGTTCGATGCAATGCGGTTTTAACAGGTTTGATTACCTCTCCAGCAGTGTTGCTCAATATTGAAAAAGATAGACGAAAAAAATTATATTCCTTATTTTTTTGCATAATTCTTTTGTCGGCTGTATTGGGTGGGAATACGTAATGTACTGTGAGCTTATTTAACAAATTAATGTCAAAAAGTGGTCACGGTAATGTGGCAAATTCCATAGATGTCTTATGAGTGACGTCAGCGAATCACGTCGTACTTCTACTCATTTAAAACACACAAAAGCGGGCTTTGCGGTATTGGGAGCGTGGATAAAAAAATGTGTAAAATAAATATGAATAATAAAGAAGCAAGATAGTTGTACTTACCCGGGTTAAAAGCACAGAGGATGCCAATAAAGAGTCCTCTTGTTGCTTGGGATTCGAAGATGCTAGCTTGGTTAGCCCATAGCAACTTGGAACCAAGTTTAATAAAACAATATCGACATTATTCTACGTCCAAATAAGTCTGGTAGATGTGAGGAGATAGCCGAGGAAAAGAGGAGGGCGTTGTGGGAACAAAAAATAATAATAATAAATATTGAGAAGTAGCAGCCGAGATCCAGACGGATGCTTCCAGTCATCAATGTTCTGCAGCGGCGTCCGTTACTTCTTCCTCCAAAGGCGGAGATTGTGCGCGATGTTGGGCTTTCGAACGAAGAGAGAAGCCACAATCGAGTAAAAATAAATCCACAAAGAAAAAAGAAAGGGCGAGAAGCTCGAAATGAAATTGCCAGTGTCAACAGCCGACCAGGACCACCAGCACTAGCTACCCTTCCAGAGGACTCCCACTCCCAACATCCTCCCTCAACTCCGGCGGGGCGGAGCGTGTCTGTCATCGGAAACATCCGATTCTTTCCATTGAAGAAAGCTGTGAAGATGTTGAACGTTTGTTCATTGAAGGGGGTAGGAGTGTTGGGGGGGGGGGTTCATAATTAATGTTTAATAATCGACATTTTCGCAATTTCGTTTCTGCGAGACCTTCCCGATTCCCAATGAAGTGACGTCACTGGGAATTGCGGAAATCTAATATGAAAGCCTTAGATATTCACAAAAAAATTGTTAATTCTGACAGTTGCTGAGGTTTTTGTTTAGTTGCTAATCATTACTTATTTTACACGAACGGTCTTTGCTGTAACTTACAGTCTGTAAGTCATAAACTTAATGGCGTCACTCTCAAATGATGAAAGGTGAAACTGCTGTTGTCTAATGTAGCCACACGAGGGTGCCCGAAATGCAGACGAACCAAACGAAACTGTAATTGTCTATTTCCACCACCAGAGAGAAGCATTTTAATTTTCTTTTAAAGAGGCTCCTCGACTTTTGTCACTAGATAGATAGATAGATAGATAGATAGATAGATAGATAGATAGATAGATAGATAGATAGATAGATAGATAGATAGATAATATTTGATACAGTGGTGCCTTCAGTGCCAGTCTGAAATCATACCACATTTCCTTATGTTCTCTTTATCAAGGGTCTCGAACCTTTTGCACTACTGTCAGACTCAAGGGCTACTTTCTCAGTTACTTTTAGCCTTTGAATGGAAAAATATAAACATCAGGCCGACTAAGTCTTCTTTTCACAACTTAAAATAAATATTTTTGTGATCTGTAGACATATTTAATCGGCATACGTCGCACATGGCTGACACATAACGGTTAAGGGAGGATACCATAAGAAAGTAATAACAATGGGGCATAATTTAAAAGCTCAACCTTGGCCTTTCTGTGCTGTGTTAGCATGTTCAACTATTCAAACTGTTTTCAATGTTCTAAATGTTTTTAAAAAAGGTTATGTTTAGGTTTCTCATGAGAAAACGCTACCAGCGGAAATACAATGTAGCGAGGGATCTCTTTCTTTCCCGATGAAACGTAACACAAGACGCAAGCGACATGAGTGGCTTTTAAAGATCTCCTGTAAATGGTATGTTTTTGTCCCTTTTGTGCTTGCTCACTCGGGAATGCTGGACACTGCTTGGATTTGGTCAATAAACACTAAATTATTCAAAACAGTAACTTAAGATCCTCCTTTCAGTCCTGTTGAATGATGTAATGCAAGAAGCTTGCTGTTTTGGAATATTATTATTTCATATATACAGTATATATATATATATATATATATATATATATATATATATATATTTTTTTTTTTTCAACACAGTTTTATTGAGCTCCCATGCCAGTTTATAACCTCAGCCTATAACCTTTAGAGGAGTCACAGGCATGAAGATGGACAACAGGTAGTTTTACTTGTTTGACACTTGTTGGAGAAATCGAAAGTAAGTTGCACATTTTGCAAAGCCAATTTCAAATAGTATCTTAGTTGTTGTCTTTGGCGTATCATCTCAGAGCAAAATACCCTGATCAAGTTACCGAGACAGGGGCCTCGCAAATCAACACAGTGTGGTGCTCGTGGGCTGAACTAAACACGTAAGCGGGAAATTTTGCGAAATGTTTTGTATGAGGAGAATATAAGAAAGATGCCTGAGCTGAGTCGGCTCTATTTTATTCTTTTTCACTGCAGTCGCTCACTCCTTGATTTGACAGCTGATAAGATCCTGGGCGCAGGTCCGTAAGGCCCTGACTGGTCTCGTTTGTATTTACCGCACATGCTTGATGCTGGATTACACATCAGCAAGCCTGCTCCGTGCCATATGTCCTCATTATTACGAACAGAACAAGGGTTAATAATGTCATGCCGAATCCAGACGGCGCCTCCCACCAAGCTGTCCTCCCGACATGACATCCATCCTTCTTTCCTGCACCCCCCCCCTTCCTCCGATATAAGCGACCCTATGGAAATCCGATATCCTTGATATCCAGATTAAGGTCCATGTACCAGGACACTCCTTGTCCTAACTTGTAAGAAAATTTAGTGCACTATGAGGGCAACAAAGGTGCACTCGTAAACAAAGATGTCTCCTAATAACCTTTTCGCCACTACTGGGTGACATTTAAGCTCGTAGGACAACGACATGTTACTTGTTCGCAAAACTTGCTGCTCTTAAAATCCATCTTAAGGTCCATGTACGAGTGCGCTATTTGTTCTCACTAGTAAAAGAGTCCAGCACACTCGTAAAACTACTGTGTCTTATGATTAGTACCAGAAATATATTTCCCGCTTATGTGTGGCATTTCTGCACATTAGCCCTTTCATGCACCCTGTAACCTGACAACATGATAAATTGTCCACTGTAGTAACCGCTGTCCCTGAAAGGGTTAAAAGGACATTTTTTGGGGATAATTGTTAATAGTAAGGCAAAACCAAGCACTAGTACCACTAGATGATAACTACCCATCCTTTTTCTAATCCGCTTATCCTCACGGGGGTGCTAGAGTCTGTCCCAGCTGTCTTCGGGCATTAGGCGGGGTACAACCTTAACTGGTTGCCAGCCAATCGCAGGGCGCACGTAGACAAAACCGGAGTACCCGGAGAAAACCCACGCAGGGCCGGAGGGGGAGAGGATGCCAACTCCACAATGCTACAAAGCACTTTTGGTACTACTACGGTCTATTATTGTGTGACATATGCCTACTAGTTAGGCCTAGTCGTGTTACTACAGCAGTACAGTAGTTTATCAGTGAGGTTTCATTGCGTACTAGCCCAAAAGTAGCGGGGAGAAAAAAAAAAAAACAATACTCGCTGGACGCAGTTGTTGCAATCATTCTATGAGAGCTCTATCAAGGCTATGATCAAAAAAGGTTCAACCTCCTCAATGTTCCTCATTTTCAGTCTGCACGTTCCACTGATTCTTTCACACTTCGATTTCCAGCATAGCATGCATGTCACCCATCGGCGTCATCGTCATCATCATCACACATCACAGCAGTAACATGCTTGGTGTCAATGTCAAATCATTCCCCAGCAATGATAACGTTTATTACTCGGCGCCGATGGCTTCGCGCAGATTGAAGCCGCACCCTTCACAAGGGTGAACGGAAAAGAGTTTGTCTCATTGTATGCCGCGTTTATACCATACGTTCTGCAACCTCTTGTCTCGTTGAATTTCGTAACTGTATTCTGTTGGACCGATGATGAGTCTGACTGTCATCACCGCGGTGACCGGGGTGTTTGGGTTATTGACCCCCTAACCCCACGAAGGCTGACAATTACTCATAGAGGCCACAAGATGTAGGCAAAATGCGACTTTTGTCTCCATGAAGCTCCTCAATTCACTTTAACATAGGTCCCCGGTCCCAAGATTCAAACTACTTTGTCCTGAACGTGTGAATTATTCCACTGCGAGAAAGCAAGCCTTTTCCTGAATGTGCCGCGGTTGTGGGTCACATGACCGCCACGGTGACATCCTCCTCCTTGATGATGTCATAAACTATGCTCGTTTATTAAAAATTCAACACGGTGCTTGGTCTTTATTAGCTCGGCCGATCCTGACATTTTACAGACTCCATTAAATAAGTCTGATGGTGTCATTAGGCCGAGCATCCCCGGGGTGTGGTGGGCGGGGGGGG